CCCCTCAGCGCTTGCATAGAGCATTCACACTTCCTTTTGTTAAACATATATATTTTTTTTTTATTTTGAGCGTGACACTTCTCCACTAGATAGCAAGGAAAAGTGATAACAATTACACATTACACAAAAGTACTGTACCATTGCCTTTATCTTGAAGGTTTCGGAAGCCTCTACAGTTAATAAGTTAAATAAAGGGCTTGAGTACATAAATATTTGTCTAGGAACCCTACCGTATCTACAACACAGTAAGAATCTACAGGAGGACAAACTTTTACCATACCACGCTGAGTGCAATTGCGTTATAACATTTCAAATATACAAAGCTCTGTTCTTTTTTTTTTTTTTTTAATAACAATGGTATGTACAGAATCAATAATCACAGTTTGGTGACTTCAACAGTCCATATTCTAGCAGAGTATTTCCCTTTGGTTTGATATAAAAACCTTGGTTGGTGTATGATAAAGAAGAGAACAAGAACAAGACGCCCCTTTCCGTTAAGTGCACTGTTAGCTATCTTACAGATTCGCGTTCGCTTCCCTGGCCCTGGCTTCACACCGGGGCCCACGCTGGGGGGATCAACTTAGAGCGCCAAAATGCTATTTAAGAAAAAAAAAAAAAGCTAAGTGGGGTGTCAGGAAGAAGAGAGGTTGGGTTTCTTAATTTTTTAACTTCAATACCAGGCGTCTTGGAGAGAAAACCTCCCCGATATTTTCAGTAAAGTAAGAGCGAGAGAGAGTGGATGTTCAGAGTCGGAGCGAGGTTGGCAGGGGCAGGGGCAGGGGCAGGGGCGGGTGGACAGCCAGCCGAGGAGGTGCCACGTCCGGTAGCGCCAGGGGCTGCCTTGCCCGCATCCGGGCTGCTGCGAAGGCGGCTGCGCTCTCTCAGTGCCGTCTCGGGAGTGTGCTGGTCCTCTGTTTCCATTTGGTCTTGAGTGGTGCTGAGTGAGGTGACCTTTCGGGGTGCCCCCGGGGCGCGAGGGTGGAGGGCAGCCTTTAGCACACCTCCTTGCCCGTGCTGGTGCCCGGCAGGATGTTGAGCTGCGTGAGCTGCGCGGCGTGCTCCTTGGCCTTGAGCCTCAGCGCCGCTATGCTAGAGGCGCGTCTGTCTGCGGCCGCGGTGGCCGGGTCGGCCAGCGCGCCCGACGCCACCGCGCCCTCCACGGCCGGCGTGGGCTGTCTCAGGAGCGCGGCCGCGGTCGACGCGCTGGTCAGGGGGGCCATGGTGGAAAAGAGCCTGCAGGGAGAGCAAACAGCGCGGTCACGGCCTCGGGAGCTGAGCGCGGCGCCGGGGACGGCGTTTCCCGCCGCCTCTCACCAGGGGAGCGGAGGGCCACAGAAGGACGCAGACGGGCGCCGCCGCAGAAGCCCGGAGTCGCAGGGCTAGGGTGGGCCACGGGCTGGGGAGCATGGGCGCTAGGCTGGGGTGCTCTGAGAGGCCTTTACTAGAGCAGGGAACCGACGGAGGGAAAAAAACCAAACAAAAAAAGGCCATGGGGCCAGAGAGCCTGAAGGGAGCAGAGCCGGGGCGGAGGCAGGTCCTGCGACCCAAACCCCCACGGCCCAGTTGCTTGCATTCTGTGGTATCGCCTAAGAAAGGGTTGTATTCCCAGACCGGGAGCTCCACTTGCCAGAAGAGAGAAGAGAGACAAAGAGAAAAAGAAGAGGAGAGATGGAGGAGTAAAAAAGAGAAAGAAGCGAGAAGGTCGCATTAAAGCTGAGCAAGACCTAGGCTGCAGACCTTGTACTCTTCCTAGGGCGCCTTCTCGGCCGGGGACTCCTTTTGCCCTGGGAGGGCTGGCCTTCTTAGAGGTCGGCCTTCCCGCCGACAAGGCCGCCCTCCCGCGCCAGACTGAGCTGCCCGTGCCCAGCCAATGACCGCGAGGTGGGGGTGTGGGGCGCCCGCCTGTTGATTTCCGCTCGGTAGGCCGCTCGGACCCGCCCGCCGCCCCGCGTCCGGGTGCAACGACACCCCTTCCCCATCGCCCTCCCTGTGTCCTGCAGCCTCTCGCCCCAGAGAGCCCCCCGAACCCGTGACCCCCGCGGGCGGTGCACGGCGACGCCCAAGCCCGGGACCCTAGTCCGTGCCACCGCCTCCAGTCGGCGCCGGGATTGCTTCTCGCGGCGCCTCCCTCCACCTCCCTCGCACGGCACAGCGGTCCTGCAGCCGAGACCAGAGCCGTCCCCGGCCACCCCACCCCAACTACCCCCCCAACCCTACCTGCCCCCCCGCCCCCCTCCCCACCTCCGCCCCACGCCCATGGTCTTGGTTCTGGGCTCCTGCAGGGCTAATTCTCAGTTTCCGTCATTAGAAATGAGCCCACCAGGATTAGAGGAGAGCCTCCCGCTTCTCCCAGGCCACCTTCTACCCCTCATGCCACCCCCACCGCACTCCTCTTCCAGCCTCTCCAAATCTCTCAGGTGCTCCAGCCGGGGTCTGCCGGCTTTTATGAACCACTTGTCAGAAGGGAAAGGTAGGGGACGCGAGGTACACAGGACTTAAAATTGTTTGCTCAGAAAAAATAATAGAGTGTGTCCTGGAGGGGGCGTAAGATGCTCTGGTTCCACTAGGTAAACTGAGTCACTACACACTTCGGTGCACTTGCTGTTTATTTTATCGGTTTGTTACGTGAAACTACTTCTCCTTCGTGTCTTTTTTAAAAAAATTTTCTCTAAGATGATTTTTTGTTAAGTGGCTGCGCCGTTGGATGAATCTATTATTTCTTTGTTCTCCCAAAGAGAGATCATTGAAGCTGCATTCAGTTTTATTTTCACTGCACTTTCCAACTTAATACATCCCTCCTTTGTTTCTTTGTCTGTGTGATTATACAGACTTTTTATTTCATCATTCGATGTTCATTTAAAGAAAGGGAATTATAATATACGATGAACGGTTTCTTTTATTTCGTTGTCTTGTGCCGCAGTGAGGGTCGGGGCTTGCACATGTGGGGGATGGCTGGCAGCGGGTCACTTGAGTGACAGGGAAGTTAGAGTCTGGGGAAGAAAAAAGAGTTCTTTGCACCCAGAGGGCCCCTGGCTCCAGGATTCCTGTAGAAGCCAGGGCTGTGTTGCTCTGCCAGGCCCTGAAGCATGGGGAAGGGTTTTGGCAAAATGTGAAGAGTCATCCCAGCTCTGTAGCCTACACGTGTACACGTTTACACACACACCACCTATGGCCTGAGCTGGTGCTTCCTTCAAATGGTACTTTCACAGCTTCCACTGGACACTCCCAGTTGTCATGGTTGTTGTTACTGCCACCGCCCTCCCCTATGCCACTCGGCCCCAAGTCATTCCCTTCAAGATCCACATTGAGGCAAAATTAGAGAGTATTTTCTTTGACTAAATCTCTAAGAGTTGGCCAAAGAGCAAAGATGTGGTGTAGCCACTACCTGTCTCCTGTCTCCGGCTCCTCCCTGACCCCAGGCTCTCTGTGTGTATTAGAGAGACAGACAGACAGACGCCCGAGGCCGCGCGTTACCTGCCGAACGCAGGGCTGATGAAGGCCGGGTGTCGGAACACAGCGGCTCCGAGGAAAGTGCTCAGGCCCAGCGGCGCCCCGCTGGGCGGCAGGCTGGCCGAGCCAGGAGGCGGAGGTAGGCTCGGGAAGGCGGCGGCGGCGGCGGCAGCGGCGGCCGTCCAGGCCGAGTCGAGCGCAGGGTGGTGCGGGGGGAAGGGGCTGGCGTCCAGGTAGGGGCTCAGAGGGTGGGTGGCCGACAGCGGCCCGGGGAAGGGCAGCCCCGGAGGATGGGTCTGAGCGCCCGCCTTCTCCCGCTTGCGCCACTTCGCCCGACGGTTCTGGAACCAAACCTGCAAGGCGGAGAGAGCCGGGGTCGGCGGGGCTCCGGACGCGCGCCCCCTCCCCATCCCCCCCCCCCCCCCCCCCCACCGCTGGGAACCTTTCCTCCTTTCCGCTGAGGCCGGCGCCCACTCGCTCCTCTCTGGCCTCGGGTGATTCAAAGACACCTCTAGGGCCAAACAAGAGGCGAAAAGGAGCCCAAACTTAAGGCCAGCAGGAAATACAGGACAAGCAAACCCTTTCCAGTGCGTATTTCAAATAGCCTCGTTCCTTTCCCAGTTGGAAGAAAATGGTCCCGTGTGTTTAGAGATGGGGACACCGAGGTTTAAACGTCTCCGCTGCCATTTGCTTGCTGTGCGTCTTTAGGCACGTCACTTAAACCTCTCTCAACCTTGGTTTTCTAATCTGTAAAATGGTGATGATAAAACTTCACTCATAAGGCTGTTATGTGCGACGAGTAGCACAAAGCATGTGAAAGCTCGGTTGGATAGGGACTCTTGGCTATGGGCAGCCACCCGGAGGTGAGTAGGTATCAGCCTGTCGCTGCCCATCAGCTATTCTCGCGGATTTCAGGTTTGCCCAAGAGCTGGCAAAATCTCTGCTGTGTTGAAGAGGGGACCTCAGGAAGGCTGTTCATTTATTCTTTCCAGAAATATTTACTGAACACCTAAGAGCACTAAGCTGGATTCTGAGGCTTGGGGGAAGCTGGGAGGGAGGGAAGGAACACCCAAGCAAACGAGCCTGCATTGTGGGGGCTAGTCCTCCGTGAAAGGGAAGACAGGGTAGGCGGCCTGCTATGGGCAGGGGCCCCGTGTAGGGCCCGGCTCCACCCAGGAAGGCACTGACTGCGGGGACCAGGTATGCAGCAACCTGGACAAATCGAAATGAGAGTGTAGGATAGCTGTAGACGTTACACGTCTTCAGAGCTAACAGGTCTTTCTTTCTTTGCAGGATGTGGTTTAAATAGGCTATTTAAATAAGATAGTTCTAGGTTTGGGGGAGAATTTTAGTACAAGGTATCTTCCTAATTGTTAATAGAAAGCAGTTTTAGTAGAGACCTTTACCTGAAATGTGGCAGCTACCATAGTCTAAAAATAACTCCCAGGCGCATGAAATTATTTTTACGTGACCTGTTCGTCACACCCACAGCTAAGAAGATATGCTCCTTCTCCCCTGAAGGCATTAATATTTTTAGGTTGGGGTTTATGCCTGCACACAAGTCTAAAAATTAAGAATGAACTCTGGGGCTATACAGAGTTATATTAAAAACATAATGTAAATGATCCTGGAGGAATTTGTTTGGGTTTGTTTTTTTTTTTTTGTTTTGTTTTTGTTTTAAAGACATCCACGCCTTTCATATAGACACACTGGAGGCTGTCTTACTAGCACTAGTATCTAAGCTTGGCTTGACTTCTAGACAGCCACATATGGCAAGAAAAATCGAGAATCCAAATCGTTTGATTATTTAAAATCCTGCTGCGCAGGAGCCCATCCATAACATTCCACAGCCCTGGAATAATCTATTTGTGAATTGGAGAAACACTCTAGTGTGGAAATTCAGAGGCTTGAAAAAGTAAGACTAGATGGGACCAGGCTGGGTGGGCAGCTTTTGTGTATCCAAATCTGTCTAGACGAGAATATCCGCCACTCTTCGATGGCAGTGAAAGGAGTAAAGGAGGGGAGGGGGGCAGGGGAGGCAGAATGCCCTCAAAGAACGTGGAAACCTTTTACAGACAGAGCATCTCTCCCGGCTCCACTGCAATTATCAAGATGTCCCCCTGCAATTCCTCATTATTGAATTAATACCTCTGAGGCCCCCCAAAGGTAAACGAAAGGACTCTAATAATTCATATTCACTTAATTACATCTTCTCCAGTGAATAGGGAGAGAGGAGAAGGGGAGGGGGCGCTCTCTTTCTTTTTAAAAGTTATTTAACTTTCCCACGACTCGCTCCCCTGAGCTGAAAACACGGAGTTGCTGTCACATCTCTGTTTGACAATGGAGAAATGTGTCAACAGAAGGGAGGGGACAGGCCTCATCATTAGCCCTCTAATGCAAGAAGCTGTTGTGTATTAAATGAGCCATATGGAATTTATTGTGCTTTATCAGCGCTTGATTTTGACTGTAAAGTGATTCACTCAGCTCCTAACCCAGGGACATCTGTTTTCTGTTGGCCGTCGGGGCTGCCCAGTGTTGATCGTCTCTCTGGTTATGAGGCCTGGGTTCGGAAATGCACTCTGGTATGGGGCTGCAAACACCTTTAATAGCATTGCACTCACTCCCTATTAGATCAATGTGGGCTCATTGCTATAAAAAATGGGAAATCAAATAGCATTAGCCAGCTCCTTGTGCGGGCGGAGGGGAAATCAAACAGCATTTTGCCTTCAAATGGCCCTGTTTGTTCTAGCACTAAGTGGGCTTTTATGAAGCCCGATTGGAGACTTAATCGCAGCCAAATACCTGCTTGGAGCTGAGCGGATTTGTCTAACAACCAAATCCATGCTCCATCCCATTATTTCAATCAGGAGAAGTCACTCCTCCGATTGTTTCCTACAGGGGCTGTGGAACCAGGGGGCTCCTGACTGCATTTCAGGGGCCCTGAAACCCCTCTTCTGATCCCGGACTCCTCCCTCAAGGCTCCCAAACCCAGAAACCTTCCCCTCCAACCTCCCAGGTCTCCATATTTTAATCTTTTGGGGCATGTGTGTTTGGATCTGCTTTTCTGATTCTGCTCCTCCTCATTTTACAAAGGGGGTCTCAACCCACACCAGTTCATCACCTCCCCTCTCTCCCACTCTCCCCCCACCCCTGCCTCCCCGCTCCCTGCAGCGCAGCTCACCTGGACTCGGGCCTCAGTCAAATCCAGCCTCATGGCCAATTCCTCCCTGTAAGAAAGTAACACACAGACAGGAGGTCACAGCAGGCTCCAGCAAACCTTCCCAGCCACCTTCCCCTTTCTGGCAGGCTTCCTCCATCAGGGCCTCTCCTGGCTGCCTGCCTGCCCTCACCCCCAAACATATGGGCATCGTGATCCCTTCACCACTCAAGTGCCTACTATTTGATTGAAAACATAAAAACACATGACCCGTTGCTTGATGTACGATGTTGTAGTGTATCATCCTATATTCAAGAGTGACAAGCGTGGCTTCTTGAGTCTCTAAGTCGAACTGGGCACTCGGATTCGCCCCCACTCTCCCTTAAGCCAGAGTTAGACAAGAAACACACAGGCACACAACGCTCATACCCTGTTTTGTCCTCATATTACATGCGAGAAGAACTCAGCACTCAACCACAAATTTTTTTTCGTGCCCTTGGTTTCTTTCTGCCTTAAAACATTTTTTTTCTGCCCCCTCTTTTTTTTTCTGCCCCCTCTTATCGCTCGCGGCCGCTGTTTCCGGGTCTCCGCGGTGCGCTGCGTCGGTCGCTCTC